GGTTTAGTCAGTACTCATAAATCTTCTCAAGTTACCTCTTTTGTACCTTCATGTAAGTTGGACGCATCAACGTTATCGTCTTTTTGATCCAGTTGAACTAGAAAAAGAACCAATGAGATAAACAAAGGCACAGATATGATTGAGTCTTTCGACTTTAGGATTATACATTGTAGTTGTTACCTATGAATCCCAGTACCATGAACCTCGTGCCTTCAAGAAAGAATCGATATCAACAAGGCAGCCAGGCTTATTAACCAACAGTTTAGTAACCTGTGAATACTTGAAAATGAAACGCCACTTCAAATCTATCAGTTGTTTTGTACTTATTCACATTTCGAATCCTTAACTCACATCCATGTACAATTTTTACGTACATCTGACAGCTTGTACGTTCCCTAAGGATCTTGTTACATTAATTCTCCTTACAATATTTATATATTTTTCAATTTTGCTCCACTATTATTTTGTGTGGTGATCTGACGGATCATTAAAAAACAGGCCTAATTATACTTGGATTCTCATTTTCATAATGAGAGCAAGCTAACGTGGTCACTAGAATCAACACCTGAAGATTCGAAACACTTTAGGAATCCAGCGTGTCAAACATAGAGTTTCAATACTGTTGTTTGCAGATTGTCAAGATCTGGAGAACAATGAGCAGTGAGGCTGATCAATTTGATGTCCAAGCTGATTTTGACAAACTAGTTAGGGGATCATGACGTTAGGTATAGGGGATCTATTCTAGAATCAGTTAGCTTACAGACATTGGACAGACCAATGGTCACCAGCATACTGTCAGTGATGCACCGATTTCATGCTTGCAGGAACAGGAAAACTGAACATAATGGTGAGCGATGAGTAGAAAACAACTGTAAGTTGTAGTACAACAGCTGAGAAGGGTTTCTTAGTGTTATAATTTCGTCAAGCATTCAGATACCTTGATGGAGATGTGCCGCTATTTTCATACATCACATATTTGAGATCTCACTCACAATGTTACAACTAATCAGCTAGTCCATATCTTATTTAGGATGCCAACATCTGCGAACGTACTAAGTGACGGGTTTTTCCAAACTCCTCTATGTGATGGATAGAAGTATTTGAAATATTATGCTAAATGGGAATTCCGGAAATAACGCAATTTAAACCAAACACAACGAGGTGAGCACAAAAGAACGTGATGCAGTTGGAATTCGGAATCAGTTGGACATCAAGTACAAGGAATTCATTAATTCATACAAACACAACAACCCCCATCTAGCTTGATAACCGAAGCCAACTCATTGGTAAATGCTGCGAAAAAGTGTTTTGGCAAACGTGATCGGGACACATCGAACAGTACTCGCTCTGTAGACACGCAAATTGGTGTGAAGCAAACTTAGGTCAGTTCGAAAACAGGTGACTCAGACCGACCATAAAAGGGAAAAACAGTCTTCAAAGAGGTCTGTCTTAACCGAAAACTCAAGAAAAGAGGAATCTTCTGTCCCCCCCGCATAGTAGCCGCAATCACAAGGCTCGATCGGTTTCTAGCGTGAAACATAACCTGACCTCCCAAATCATCGACAACCCTCCGGAACCCCACAGTATGTTTGACGCAACTGTGGTTGATTCTCATATCAACGTTGACGAATGAGTACAGGTGTAAGGAAGAAACAACATAACAATGTAAAAAGGGAATCCCGCCCCCACAAAAGTAGTCGAGAAATCAAAGGCTGATCACAGTGACGGATCAGTTATTTTTTGTAGAATCAAGGAGAGTGAAAGCTCTGAACCAAAAATTCATTTTGAGCATGACATTGTGCTGATGAAACAGCTACTTGATCAACTCATGCCTCAAAATATCCCCAGAGTCACCTTGCTGAAGGTGTACAGACTAGGTAGTCTAGCGAACTTGAAGCCTAATCAATCCAAACTGCTCAAAGTAGTATTCAAATCGTCAAATGAACGCGATTTAATTTTACAGAATAGACATAAATCAAGGGGTTCAGGAGTTTTAATCCATAAGGACTTGCCGTTGGCAGACCGCGTAAAAAAGACAGGAAGTCGAAAAAGAGCTGCAACTTAGGTTAGACACTGACGAAAAGGACATAAAAATTGTAAATTTTCGGGTTGTAAGGCTTCGACAGAGAATGATGCCGGAGCCACATTTGCTGATTAGTTTGGTCTATCCCAGTCCAAGCTGTGAGATAGCTGAGGTCCTACTAAGCAGTCTCAACACTTGGTCACAAAGTGGTCGATGTCTTATCCTAGGGAACTTTAGTGCACCTATAGTAGACTGGGAAAATTTGCGAACTGAATCGTCAGATAATTCCTTCGAGAGGGAACTAGTTGATGCGGTTATCACATGTGCCTAAGTACAACGTGTGAAAGAAGCGATTAGGTACGACCCGGACACTGAATCATCCTTACTAGATCCTGTATTGACTCACTATGAGGATGACGCTGCGAACCTCCATTACATGCCACTCCTAGGTAAAAAGTGATCACGCAGTTTTAACTTTCAACTTCCATATAACTGTCAATCACGAGCACGCGCAAGCTCAATCCAAACCTAACGTCTGGAAAGCAAACATACCAGATATCATGCACTAAGCATCGTCAGTAGATTGGACAATAGACCCAGGATCCTCAATTGAAACGGCTTGGGACGCACCTCGAAATTTATACGTAAACGTTACCGCACCCCACATCCCCTGGACTATACCAAGGGGGTCGAGAAACTCTCCACCATGGTTCAGTAGGGAGGTCCGTATCCTTCTCCATAAGAGAAGAAAAGAGTGGGTTACTAGGGACTGATGAGACAAAATCTCAGTATTGAAAAGCGCGGAATACCTGTACCTCGACCCTCCGTAAGTCTAGAAAGTTGTACGAAGAAAAAATTGTTAAGGAATCCATAGAATGTCCTAAACGCTTGTATTCCTATATAAACTAAAGGACAAAAAGAAGAGGAAAGATTCCTGCACTATGGGGAGCCAGTTCTGCCGCATCGTTAGTGGAGGACGATTTCGGTATGGCTCAAGTGTTCTCGAACTACTTTAGCAATGTGTACACCATAGAAGCACCCTTTCCGTCAGCTCACACAAATCCCCCCACACATACACTGGATAGCGTGACCATTAAAGAACTCGATGTCTTTGGTGTACTAAATAAGCTTGACATAGGTAAATCCACGGGGCCCGATGAATTGCATCCCAGGCTACTGAAGGAATTATCTAACTTCGTTGCGAACCTTTAAGTATATGCTTTAATCTATCCGTAACGCAGGGTCGTTTACCAAAAGATTGGAAGAACGCCATAGTAAATCCTGTCTTCGAAACAGGTACGAAACATAAACCTGAGAATTACCGTCCCGTTAGCTTAACTAGTGTGGTTGGTAAAATCTTAGAAAAGATTATTCGGAAGGAGCTGTTTAAGTACCTTGGTGAAAACCGGATCCTTTCGGAGACACAGCATGGTTTCAGAATAGGTTATTCTTGTCTCACTAACTTATTAGTCGCTCGTGAAAGCTGATGCTCTGTTAAGGCCCAAACGTTACCTGTAAACGTAACCCACATTGATTTCAGCAAAGCTTTAGACAAAGTCCCGCGCAACCGGCTGTTATGTAAGCTAAGAAATATCGAGGATGGAGGCAATCTATTGATGTAGATAAAAGACTTCCTAGTTGGGCGCCAACAAAGAGTACGGGTGAACTCAAAGTTGTCCAGCTGGGAAACTGTCGTTAGTGGAGTGCCCTAGGGTACAGTTTTGGGGCTAGTGCTATTCCTCATGTATGTAAATGACCTTCCTCGTCTCCTATCATCATCGGTCTTGCTATATGCTGACGATGTCAAGATATGGAGAACGATACGATGTAAGGCTGATAGCTTAGAACTCCAAAATGACCTGAAGAAATTATCTGAATGGTCTAAAACCTGGGAGTTGCCGATAATTACTTCCAAGTGTTGTGATGCATATCGGTCATCAGGGTACAGATACATACACGATGAATAACACTGAGCTACCTGTCGTCCAGATACATAATGACTTAGGAGTCATCGTTAGCCAAGACTTAAGGACTACTGCACACTGCCGTGCAATAGCCGCCAAAGGTTTTAGAACGTTATGGTCAATACGTAGGGCTTTTAGTCATGTCGACGCTAAAACGTTCTTGACTCTGTACACAGTGTCCGTACGTCCTAAGCTTGAGTACTGCATACAAGCGACTAGCCTCCGCTGAAAAAAGACAGTGGGCTGCTAGAAAAGGTTCAGATAACAGTAGCTAAGCTGGTTCCCGGAATAGGGAGGGTTCCGTACGATGCTCGACTGACCAAGCCAAACCTTTTCCCGTTGTCATATCGTAGAACTAAAGGTGACTTGGTTACTGTTTTCCAATCGCTTAGTAATAAATTTGCACCTGATATGTTCTCATTTTTCTTGTCTTCCAAAAGGGAGAATTTACGAGAACACTTCAAAAAAGTTCACAAGCCCGGAACAAATTACTTGTCAGCTGACTATCGACTTTCCCATTGAATCATCAACGAGTGGACTTCATTAGCTCAGCACGTGGTTGAGGCTCCATCCGTCGACTCTTTCAAAAGAAAGTCGGATCAACTGAAAGACCACCATTGCCAGAACTAACACAGGCCATCAAGCTCCCTGTTCTTTCCAAAGTGAAACTGAATGGGCGACTACGACATTTAAATCATTACCCCTCATCGTAGAACTTGAGGTGATCGTATATTGGAACTCCGTATCTTAAATAATGATTTAGATGTTGAAATGTCCGTTTTTTCTCTTCTTCAGAACCACTTATCCCCGAGGTCACTGAAGGAAAGCTCATAGACTGAATAAAATAAGCTCAGATTAAGATCCAGTTTCTCGCATCGATGGGTCAGTGCCTAGAACAACCTACGCAAATAAGTAGTATCAGCCTCACTAGTAAATAATTTTGTGGATAATCTGAAGCACTACAGGGAAACACGTGCCAAGGATTAGCACAGTTCGTCTGACCTTCAATCTTTATAATTGAAGACAACATGTATTGCACATTGTACACACTACGCACTTGTTTGAGACCTAGGCGTATGTATTGTTTGTTTACAACTATATGTAATAATAAGATGTTTGTATACATTATATTGCTCTAATACATTGCGTTAATCAAGAAGGAGGACATTATTTCACTTACTGAAGTCTCAAAAACTTTCCTTAAAATCGAACTGTCACGTATAGTCCGAAAATTCGTCGATGGTTGGACTGTAAATCTCGGTTTTCTCGTAAATGCCAATTATTCTGAAAATTATCTTAAGTTCACTCAGAATTTCTATAGGACTGAGACCTTTCAGAATGTCGAGTCAAAAAATTCACAGGATTGGCAGTTTAAGCTAACTTAAACTGCCAATTAGCTTAAAGCTACCAATTGAGACAATTGGTAGTCCCAGTGTAATTATAATAAAGCTCTTCGTTTTGTTAGCGGCGAGGCTTCAATTTCTGAAAAATAGGTGTCTGACATTTTTTCGAACTAAATTTTCACTATGGATATGATTTTTTCACGAAAACTATGTTAATATATTGTATAGTGTCGTAATTCAGTATTCATTACAAATTTTATGTTCACTGTTCGGTGCTTAAATATAGAGCTTTTGGTATACTTGGTTTTGTCAGTTATTTTGTTTCTGGGCTTTGGTTCGGTCCGAAAATAAGTTATAGACTTATCTGTACAGTTAGCAGCACGACATCCCCTTGAGACCTTGTGTTTGCTGCTTTTAGTCTTACCGTTCTTCAGCCGACCTGTATGGCATGGTAGGACCTTGAGGAATGATTTTTCCAGTCTGTAGAGCTCGATTGGCTGATCACGATGGGCTAGCTTGACCACCACATCAAGGTAGCAGCAACGGTCGGGTTGTCTATATACATGAATGTTATTTGTGCTCAGTCTGTTGTGGACTACATTGATCGCTTTTCCCTTCTAAATATGACAGGTCTCTGGAGGTTCTCATAACCTCCATACTCAAGGAGCATGTAATTGTTGTTTTGTGGTCTCAATTTCAAAAATTAACAAACTATCTAGACCTACAACCCTAATGCTATATTTAACATCCGTATACTTATAATAACTTATAATGTTGTTAGATTTTGTCCATTATTTATTCACTGGTTTAATTTTTATTTATTAATGAAACTATCCGTATTAAATTGTACAAATAAACATGCCCTTAACGAGTATAAGTAGACCAACCATTGATTTATGTCCCTTTGACTCCACGAGTTTAAGAAATCGAGTGGTATCATTAGCGTTTAACATATTAGTTGGTTCAGTTCAATGAGTAGTCCTGTATATCATAACTTTATTTTTGTCTGCGTAGTTCAGTTCGGTTTTTATTTCATTGTGTGGTGTTATTTGATTACATATTAGAAGTGGTAGTCAGTCAGTCAGTAACAACGTAGAACTTCGTACGTACGTACATCAGTTCGAGTTGCCACACCACATTAGCACAGAGATGCAGTGGTCGATTCAAATCCCGTAGTGGTAGAGGTAATAAGAGTATAAGCAGTAATCGGGAAGATTAGTGTTTGGAGATGTTACTTAAAGAGTATAATACAGTGAAATAATTTGGGAAGAGAAAAAAAGAGACAAGGAGGAATAAGGAGATCAAAATTTGGGAGAACACAAAGAGTGGGTGCACCTGCGCCATTGCAAACGATTTTGAGCCATGTCATTTAGGGTCTCTAACCATCGGTTGCTATCATCTCGCGGTCCCCAACCAGGTAGTCTACACCTACGAACCTGGCTCAGTCCACTTGTCAGTGAAGTGGTAAATTCACTTAAAACGAATATGACTCCAAACCACCAAATAAACACACGTGATTGATGAAATGCGGCTGGCAACGTAATCTTGAATGTGCGTTTCATTTTATTTGGGACTTAGTCGGAGATATCTGCACCACAGAGTTGGTGTTCACTCCGGGATTTCAGGCTTTATTTTCCTTCCATACTAATCGCGTCATACCTGCTTCGGTTTGGGCACCCGGGCAGTATCACACCCCTCACACATATCGAATGAGATTTGTGTGGCGCATATGTATTTGGTGCCTCCTTGTACCAATATCTATGTGGTAAAATAAATAAATATAATCGCATCATATGATATTCATTAGCTTAATTTGAAAGTTATTTTCCAGACTTTTCTCTGTTGTACATAACGCAGTTTAAATATGACTTTCCATTTTGTAATTATCAGGTACCATGAATGCAATTAACCCTAACAACTCTAATAACCTAACCTCTGGCTTTGGTCATTCAAATGATATGAATTTTGTGAAAAGTAGTGAGAACCGTTTAGGTGATTCCAATAGTTTATCGTCTGTTGAATTAGCTCAATTACCAATGAACCCAATGTATACAGACGGCTCAACTGCAGAAACCGATGTTTTGAAAGCGAATTATGGGATTCCTGCTGATGAGTGTTGGTTGTTCAAACCACCGAAGCAGCACCAAACTCAAGGTTCTGTTGAACCCATAAGAACATGGTTACGTGCGATATTTGATTCGCCAGATTCCTGCTTTTTCCATTCGCGTCGAAATCTCCTCTCCCGCCTCGAAGCGATCATTTTGGCTGGGGGACAAACTGAAGCATATCAGTTTGGAGGCAGTGTCCCATCTCTGAATCTTATCACTTCAGGATATCCACCGCGTCCGAATACAGGTCGTACAGAACATTCTGTTTATGGATCTGTCGTATCCAATCGTCTGGTAACCGCTAGTTCATCAGACAGTATTTCGTTTCCTAGTCAACAGACAGTAACTAATCCTACAATGAACAGTGAGCATGTTAACATGAACACTTTCACACGTTCTCACAAACCAAGAATAAGTTTACCACCTCAGTGCAGTGCAAGTAAATCAGTAAAAAATGGTTCTCATAATCCTAATTCATACTTGTCTAACTCTACTGGAGCGAACTTTTCTTTCAAACCGCCTAACAAGACTGGGTCATGTGATGAGCTAGAAACTACGTCTGCAAACACCAATGTACAGGAAATTGCTAGAAGACAAGAAGACACATTAAAAGCAGAAGTTGCAGCTCTAGCAGCGGCAGCAGCTGCTGCCGGCAAACATGGTAGTCAGCATTCTCTTGCTTCTTTGTGTAGGAATAGCCCACATGGGAGCTACACAAACATCGCTAGTGCTCCAGAAAGCCCTCACTCAAGCACAACAAAGCTAAACCAACCTCAGCAAAATCACGACCATTTCTATGTAAAACAGTCTCTGTCGTTTTCTCAAGAGTTTGAAGGGCAAATTACAAACCAGCAACCAACACAAGATACTCATCTTGTTAATTATTCGTCTCATAGTCCTACTAGAAAAGACGTACTGTCCAACATTCCTGCTCACGCTTCTAATGTGGCGAACATAAAACAAAACCCTTACAAAATTTTGCCTCAAAAGCCTTTGCTCACAAATATTGTTCCAGAAATGGGGATGAATCTAGACAATCTCAGAAAATTTCGGTTTCAACACATCCATCATTATATCCTCTTGCGGTGAATGCCACAGGAAACGTGTACATGTCTTCGGCAGAACCTCGCAGTCATTTTGGTTTTCGGCCACTACAACAAATCTCTACCGGTCCATTCAATAAAACTGTTAATTTAGGATTAAGACGTACATCTGATGATCAACTTTTATCCTCCGGAAACCCAAACCAATAATTTTTCAGTCCGCTTTAGTCGAGTTCTAGTCTTTCTAGTTTGTTGTTACTTCGACATCAATTCTTCTTCTCAGAATCAAATGGCTAATATAACATTATGTTCATTATTAGTTAATCATTATAATACTTATCCCTTATGTTTCAAATGCTAATTGTCACTGGCTTTTTTGCAAGACTTCGCATTGTTCAGAAAAGGCTCTCCATTCGGCTTTTAGCTTTTTATTTACATTTTGTCAGCTTGCATTTCTCAGCCCTAGTGATTATGTTTTTGAAAAATTAATAGCATTTAATCATCTGGTTATCTATATACATATATAATCCGCTCACTTATAACAAGGTGCACTTCAAAAGCATAATGCATTGGTTATAACCATTTTTGAATTTATTTCACAAAGTGTAATTTGACAATGTTTTTATTTTGGCATTTTGGTAACCTGGTAAACATTTATTATTTGAACTAATATTTATTTTTTTAATTTCTCTATACAAAAAGCTTTACTTGGATAACTTTAATTTGTACAGTTCAATTTTCCTTCAATTTAAGTTGTAACTTATTTACTTGTAATTTATCTTGTAGTGGGTTTTTACCAATGATGGATCCCGATATTCCAGGTAAGCTTTATTCGAAAAATTTCGTAAGTTTACTTATACCGTTGCATTCTCACTGACTTACACGAATGTATTTATAGATTGATGGTTTCCGATACACATTTGTACCAAGTCCTGTGTTGATGATAACTGAATGAGTTTATTGATTTTTGTAAGTATTACTAATTTAAAAATAATTTCCATTCATTTGTCACGTTTCAAGCGTAATAAACTTTTTTTTAATATGATTTATTAGAAGCTAAACAACACTTGTTTTTAATTTCACATATCATCAATTCTATTCATAAACTGGGTATTTCATCTCCAATTATCTGGAACCAGGATTTCCTCACCACTAAATACGGTGGTCGAGGTGTTAATCTCTCAAGAATGTTGTTATGTCCTTCACTCGTCTTTTAATCAATCCTTATCCACGTCGTTACTTTATTTTAATATTTTCCGTCTTGTTGAATTTTTTTCATGTTGATATAAAGTTTCAAATTTGGTGTAAACAAATTTGTAGCACTTCTAGCGATATTAACGGGTTTAATTTTAGATGACTGATTATAGATATTTGTATGTTCAACTTCGTACTCTCACTACAGAAATATAGACATGTAAATCTTAGTACTTCTAAAGGTTGTAGTATATAGCAACAAAACAGTATAGCTGTACTTTGACTAAATTTGTTACTTGAACACTTCATATTCTCCAGTTTAATGTGTAAAAGTTTTACCTACCCGATTGTTGATATTCTTGCTTGAACGTATATCTAAGAGACGGTCTTGAATAAAACAAAACGCACTTTGTGGATTCTACTTCTAAACACATCCCATCTATTCTATAGGAACTTCTTATTCCTGTTTTATTCGTATAGTTTGTTCCGTAGTGCTACTTATGCTTTTCTTTTCAGAATTCAAAGATAAGCAAACTGCTGTTGAGGATACATATCGGCAAATGCGAAAACTATGTGAGAATTACAAATTGTTCGCGAAACCGGATGACTTGGATGAACTATATTCGACTAGCCTAAATTTAAGATATATCCAAGATGATTATGAACTATAAAACATGAATTATCAGTCATTAAAGTTAATCGTCAAATTGCTCGAGACGCACTTTTAGCTGCCGGATTTCAATGTCCCGATGATCCACCAACATAGTTTGTTAGTTTTTGAGTCTCGATTTCTTTTTTAATTTTAGAATATTTTTGTGTTTTAATTTCTATTGCTTTATATGGTATGTAGCTAGAAGATGATTTTTGTTAGGAACTATAAAGATTAATTCGTTTTGACTCAGTATATATATATATATATATATATATATATTATATATATATATCGGTTTTCATAAAACTATTATCCAAGTTTTTTGTATGGTGACTGATATTACCCACTGAGTTATCTAAATTGGATTAGGTTCACAACTGTGACTTACTGGTTGATAAAGTATTTGTGTACATGTCCCCTTATTCTGTTGACCATAATGTTTCAAATATTCTTAATCATAAACCAGCATCTATAACTATTAGCCAAGTAAAGTTTTCTATTCACTATCCACTTGAAAAATAATAAACTAATAATTTGCTAAACGGTGTGGAAGTCCAAGTCTACCGCTTGACTAAAGTTACTTTCACCTAGGATTAACGATTAATAAATATTTCTTGTCGGAATTATTTATTAAATGAGAATTCATTTTCCAAGCTTTACAATCTCAAATATATATACGTATTTTTCAAGGTAATAGTAATCACAAAAATACTGATAATGAAATTCTGTTAAACATACCGTTTTGGATGTTTTGGCTAATTCTGTTGGTTTTGGTTTATTATCTAGTTTCATGACTTCAAGTGAGTTAATAAATTGATTGACTTTCATGAGGATCTGTTATTCGGCCAAGTCATTATTCTCTTTGATTGTACTGATATTCTGTGTCATTTTAACATTCCAAAATGAAATTATAGCAGTGGTACCAGAAGCAGAAACTGAATATATACACGAAATATAATTAAACGATGATCACCGGACATCAGTAAGCTGACTGAAGTGCATTTATTATCAAGATGAAGCGGTGAGTGACGTGATATCTTTAATTATGTTAGTGAAATAAATCTAAATGACCCTACCAAGAGGTCAAAATCCTAAGAGAAACTTCTGATACAAAGTCCTGCAGTAAATACGTCTTATTTCGCTTTTGACTAAATAAATCCTAAGATGGAGTAAAATCTGTCTAAACTTGCATGAAATTAGTTGGTATCAGTATCCCAATAAACATGTATTGTCACTGCAACTATCCTTACTTGTACTTCTGTGGAGCGCAGACATATTACATTGATTATTTCAGAAGTTAAATGAAAATTAATTGTTTAACAAATAATCAGGCTTTTCGATCAAGTTATTTCCATAATCATTAACTGAATTACAATATTCATGTTTACCCTATTTTTGGATCTAGGTCAACTTTAATCTAATCAATTTTGATTAACAGTTATTAAACTCTATTCCATTATTGAAATACAGTATATTCTGAAAATCAAGTTATTTTCGCTAGAATGATTAAGATGGAATTAGTAACATATTCCTAACATTCTATTATTGATGCGTACATTATTAAATGTAATTTCTTGTTGAAGAATTTTATAGACTTAATAAAACTTTAATTGATGTGCAATACTTATTAAAAAGTATGACATAATACAATGTAAGCTAAATAAATACAAGAAGCGTAATGAAAAACTATTTGTACATCAAATCATGTCTAAATCATATTAATAAAATGACGACGTTGCTTGCTATCAACCATCAGTCAATGGATTACTCCAAATAGAAAACTCTAGACCACTTGTCAACATTATAAGAAGCTCTTAATATCAATTTGAACAAACTGTTCATGCTCCCAGTTAGTTTAAATGACTAGTTTCATTCTGATAATTCATTAGATACCAATGAAGATTTGTTTAGACTGAGCAATCGCTTGTAAATTCATTTAGAATGTAGTGGATATATTTACATAATGAAAACAAAATGAACTAACAGGAAAATAGTCTTTAACTTTATTAAGAATTGAGGCCACCTCAATTGGAGGATTGATAGACAATAGAACTGTTAGTTTACAAAACAGAAATAAAATATTGTATCTGTGGGAAAATTCATCTAGATTTGAGCGAAAAGTTCTACAGCAGTTAGGCACTGAGTTAATATAAAAGGAAATTATGTTTGTATCGTAAGCGGCTTTCTGGTAACCGGTTCAAAGTTCTACGAGTCGTCTTGGATTCCCTACACTGGTTGGCTAGATATCAAACTTATAAAGCAAAAACGACTGATATCTGGTTGATGAAGCAACTTGGTTCATCTACGAACTGAGTTGGCTGTATTCATAATCTGGGAATTAAAACATTTAGAACAAGCAAATGTAAACTGTATCTGTCTTTTGGATTTAATTGTTATCGGAACTGAATGCTCATGGTGCGAAATGTTACTTATCTATTAACTTGATTTCTAAAACGAAGGACAATTGGTATTTTATGTACTAATATCACAGAGATTTTCTCATCAATCTAAGATTTGATTTTGACTGTTGGCTGTATAAGTATTTCATTATCATTGTTAACCAGTCAATATGTGACGATTCGTAAAAGGAATTTTAATACATGACCAAACAACACATTCCACCTGAGCCCGTAGTGTTTCAAGACATGCCTCGTTCAACTATGTACAAGCTATGGTTAATGTGTAGATGATTGATTTAATTATACTGACCACCCACGCGCTTATTTTGGGGTCAATCTCTCTGCTTGTAAATATATTGTAATCTCTTTCTTAGATAATTTAGAATGCAGTTTCTTATGTATTCTTGTTTTCTTTATATGTCTAATTTGTCTGATCAAATATATAAGAGCATTGACAGTTACTGAACCGAACCAGATTGATGGGGATGTGAAATTCTCATATATTGCATTTATTAAAAAAACAATTTTTAGAACTCATAAACTGATTTAAAGTTAGCTTGGTTGATTGACTTCCGATATGTGGATCAATTTATTCCGAATGAAGTTCATTGTTCAATATATCTTCATTGTATTATCTGCCCCCCTGAATGCCCTGGTACGGCCGAGAGTGGGGAGAGTCCGCTCTCCCTCTCGAAATACTCTCACACGGCCACGCGTATACAGCCTCTGCCAGGGAAGTCCTACTCATTGCCTTCTCGTGGCGGGGGTGTTGTCTACGAAAATGAGAGGACGAAAAGCGAATGTCCGGCGCTTTAACCGGATTCCAAATCAATGGTGCACATGGGCTCCAGTATCCTGCGGGAACGAATGGCGTATGAACCAATCGTTGGTCACCGGCTACCATGGGACTGCATCTCCTTACGATGCTCCACTGCCTTGTGGGTTAGACCTTTAGGTCAAAGGCTCGGGGAGTGGCCCCCTAAGATAACCACCTGCTTCGGTTTGGGCACCCGGGCAGTATCACAGCCCACACACAAATTGATGAACTCTTTATGCCTACGGAAATTACCTTTCTTGCTTTGAAAAACAAACAATTGATTCAGATTATTATCATTACAATTATTGTCATTATTAATACTGTTATTATTATTACTAGTATTATTGTCATTATTGTTATTATTATCATTATTATTATTATTTTCCACATTACTCACCCTCTTTTATACTTATACAGCGGCTCGTCTTTGGCGGAAATCCGACTGTATCTATACGTTCTCGAGTCACTGTCCGGTTGAAAATTGTATGTTACCACCGAATACGAGGACTGAAGCAGATTTTCTGAAACCACGTGCACCATTCAAACTGGCTGCCTTCAACGTTCGCACATTTATGCAGGTCGGACAACAGATAGGGCTGGCTATGTCTTTGGAAAGTCTTAATATCGACGTGTGTTGTCTATCCGAGACCCGTATTCAAGACTCTGGCGAAGTACTACAAATTCGATCTCCATCTGTCGCTTCGAAAAGCTTGTTTTACGTGCGCTTATCCGGGGACCCTGTGGCATCTTCGTCTGGTCTTGCTGGCGTTGGTGTCGCACTAAGCGCTAGAGCTGAGGCAGCACTAGTCGATTGGATCCCCATTAACAGTCGGTTATGTGCTGTTAGATTAGAAAGTTCCATCAAAGTGAGAAGAAATCGGCGTGAGAAACGATGTCTTTTCGTCATCTCCGCCTATGCCCCGACAGATTGCAGCCCGGATGCAATCAAGGATGAGTTTTACCACCAGTTATCAGTTCTTCTCCAGAAAGTGCGTTCGACAGATATTGTAGTACTAGCCGGAGACTTGAATGCTCAGGTCGGGCGTCTAGGCACAGAAGAGAGTCGTTTAGGTGGCCGATGGGGACTCGTTGGTCGCAGGTCAGATAACGGGGACCGTCTACTGCAACTTTGCACAGACCACAACCTGTTTCTGGCTAGCACTAACTTTCGGCACAGTCATCGCCGATGTGCCACCTGGCGTCCTCCCTCTGCATCTCAAGCCTGGACTCAGATTGATCACATCGCGATCAGCTACCGCTGGCGTGGTTGTGTAAAAGACTGCCGCTCCTTTTGGAGTACCTATCTGGACTCTGACCATGCCTTGGTCTGCGCCAATCTTACCTTACTTTTCAGTGGACAACGAAGTGAACGCCATCAACGGATTGATGTTAGCAAGCTGGTTGCAACTTCTGTTGCAAGTAAGTATCGAACCGAGCTAGCCTCTAGGCTAGCTACCACTCCACCGAAAAGTATAGATGAGCATTGGTTGCAATTGCATGACGCCATGAAAATGGCGGGAACAGTCAGTTGTGGGTTTGCGAAACGTCCCGCTTTAAGCACTGGGTTTCTTCTGGTTCCTTACAACTCATTGAAGCCCGTCGGTCTACTCCGGGTGACCGTGAGTTTGACCATAAACGAAGGATGTTACGTAAGGAGATTGGGCAAAGCTTGCGTAAGGACCGAGAAGCCTGGTGGTCGATGCGTGCTAATGAGCTGGAAGCAGCAGCTGCATCTGGTAACTACCGGAAGCTCTTCCAGCTCATCCGAGCCACTGGCAGCAAGAAGTCTGGTGTGAGTGAAACAATCTGCGAGGATGATGGGATGCCAATCACTAACATCCATCGACGTCTTGGACGATGGGCAGAATTTTTCGAAGGGCAGTTCAACTGGCCTGCTGCTC